AATGTCAAGCGTAAATCTCACACTAATGGTTTACAGGGAACGGAAATTGATAATTTTACTACACACGACGTTTTATCTTTCTTCCTAAATTGATAATATATTCCTGTGAACTGGTTAATGTATGTTCTGCGTATCATTTTAAATTCGTGGTCGTAGTTTGAAATGATTACTCGTACTTATTGGCACTGATAGACTCTTGTTTTTTATGTTATGGTTGAAGAAGCACGGAATATTGTTGTTAAATATTTCAGCTTTTGCAGTTTTGAATAATATTTATCTTAATGTAAATAAAGTCCTTTCTTATTATTATTATTATTATTATTACATCAATTTCTGAGTTTGATTTTTGTACTTTTTAGAAGTTTTACCAGCTTCATAGCGTTTAAATTTGAAATACTTAATACTCACTAATTTCTTTCTATACGATGTCTAAATAATTGCAAATTAAAACCCAAACTTATCGACGAAACGGCTTCATAACATCTATTTACCAGTCGACAGTAAGAAATGAATATGCATTTAAAGTAATAAATCAGGCGGTAATTTTCAAAGATTACTATCAAAGCGTCTTATTCAAATCGGTAGTCTGACACTTTAAACGATATGTTTTGTAACAAACCAAAATTCACAAAGAAGTCGAATCATCCCGAAAGTACAATTTGTTAACACCCTTTGTGTACGGTTTTAAAGAGTGGAAAAATAAATATCTCTTAACTGCGTGGGTGTGAGGCATGCATAATAATCATGCAACATTAAGAAGAATTTGGATGCTGAGCGGCGGTCTCTTGGGGATCTTTTGGGTTCCTAAATTTCGCATAAGCCATAAATAACACTAACATTGTGCGCTCTCGGATTTGCAGCTTAGCTCAACTGTTACCTCTTTTGGCGATTTACTCTTTGTGTCCTCTCTTAAGACGCATTGTCCGAAAAGTGGATTAGTTCATAATGGGCTACTGGCATGCATCGGTTTATGAAACTACTTACAATTTCTCTTTATTTCAATAGTTCCTGGCTCTGGAATCCTCCTGACTGAAATGTATTTTATCTGCATAGCAAATACCTATATGAAAGTTTAGTTGAAATATTTGCAATTGAAAAGAGTTAACATTTTTAAAGTAGACCGAGTTATCTGTTTCTGTTCAAATCTGTTTAAAACTTTTCCTCACCTTTTGAAGCCAAGCCCGGAAGAACTTTCAAACGAATGAAGTAAACATATGAGTGAGTTCCAGAAGTTACGTCTAAATTTATTTAAAATTCAGCGATGTGTTTTGTATTTTCAAATGCATTTTATGGTGAAATTATGGTTTAATGGTTACGTAGGGTGATCCCATAATGACAAACAACTTTATTTTTTTCAAATATAAGTGCCTGTTTTTCATTTAAATTTTCAAACCGAGGACTTATTGCATGACCTCCTAGATCACCATATCTAAACTCCGATGGATTTATTTTTCTGAAAATCGAAAGTATTTGTTTGACATGCCAAACAATCTACTGGATTTGAAAGAGAAGGTCTGAATAGTTGAAAACCTGCAAGAAGAGTTAGTTGATCTCTATGGATATTGTGGAGCAGTAAATGGCACACATTCTGCACATTTAGTCAGTTTCTTGAAATAAATCGGTCCTTTTCAGGACTACAGAAATTTGAATCGTCTCTATTAATTATTTCTAAGTCGAATCGCAAATTTCTCGATTAACTGTTGAGTTTAAGTAGCACATGTAACCTGAATCATACTTATAATTTTTGTTCAACTTGGCATCAATAAATTTCGTATTAAAAATTGCATTTACAAATAAGAACTGACTAAAAAAACAGTCTGCTGATTTTTTTTATGAACTTCATGTTCGTTGTGGCACAGTAATTTGTGGTGAATGGTGAATCAACTAAACAGAGGCACGGCTAACTGCACAAAATCCGAACAGTCTTATCAGTATCATGGGATAGATAATTTTTAGATCATAAGGATAAAGGAACGATTGGAAAAGGGATTCGCATTTGTGTTAAAAGGGACACTTTAGTCCTTGCTAGTGCAATATTTAGCGACCAACAGATCCATGAAATAAATCTGGCTTGAAGTGAAATTAAACAGTGTTAAAGGTGGCATTTTTGTATAGGCCAAGGCAAAACACTAGCCCCGAAGAAAGCCAAGAACTTCCACATACTATAGAGGCTATAGTGACAGGAAAAGAGCCAATCTATATACTACGAGCCTTCAATTGTCCGGAAACAGATTTGGAAACGTTTAATGTGCACTCGAACAATCAGAGTAGTGAGGATTTCGTTCACAGATACAACCCCTCTGAAGCCAGCAAATGGTTAAATTCAACACAAGAGTAAAATATGACAAGAAATAATTGCTCGATCTTCAACTAGTCACTGAAGAACAGTTAGTTGATTTTTGATACTCGGTTGGTAAATCGTTATAACAAATCAAAGCCAACAGTAAATGGCTAGGAACTAGCTAAGGAAGACTTCGAATCTGTTAACAATGATTGGAAGGAAAGTCAGGACTATCAGAAGTGCAGGAACTGGTGAAATCTTCAAATGCCTGCCAAGTGTGTTCTTGTTGCTGCAAAACATATATTGCAGTATTTTCAATTGCACACATCAATTGCCAAATGAAACACCGAAAATCAACCCTCAATAACAACGGTTAAATAAGGAAGCCTGTGGAGAAAAGGTTGAACCTTAAAGTTTTCAATGGTAAATAATAGAAACAATCATTTTCCTGATATACATCAATAATAATTGATGTGGTAGCCTGGTAAATATATCAGGTCTAAAAACGGACTATCCTCTCTTTGCGGACGAACTCTCCTCACGAACGTGGACGACCTTTTTTGGATACTGCAGTTGTGAAGATGTCTATTGATGAACAAACAAATCAACTTGTGAGACCCTTTAACCATGAATTTTGACGTCTGCCGACCGATCTTCGTTGATCGGTCGAAATTGCCTTCGATTGTCTGTCTCAGAAATTCATATTTCTCACCTCGCATTAAATGACTTAGGTATATTTCTTTTACGTTGTTTATGTTGTTTTATGTAAGAGTTCCTTTAATTTTCCCATACACCTGAGCACATCCCAAGACCCATTATCCTGTCGTTTGTCTTTTTCAAGATCCTTATCCGTTGTTTCTTCCCTTTGTTGCTCAATTCTTTCACCTTTTGATGTATATTAAATGATTTGTGTTTCTCTGTTAGCATCTCTATTTTCCTGCATTTTTCGGGCATTCATTTCTCTTTCGTGCGTCTATATCTTCTTCTTCTTCCTCTTGAATTGCCTATTCGTTCCGACTATTGGCGATAATCCTGGACATGATGACTTTGTTCACGGCTGCTTTAAACAGTTCGGTAGTAGTTTTTGAGAACCACGTTCTTAAGTTTTTAAGCCATGATATTCTCCTTCTGCATGGTGGTCGGACTTTAAACGTTGATATTTGCTTTCGTTCCTCATAATATGTATGAGGTATTCAAGCTTTCTTTCTTAATGGTGTTCAATACTTCCAAGTCCTTCCTCAATCTCTCCATCATTGCCCTGTTGGGCACTCTGTTCACCCATCTGTTACTGTTTACTTCAGAAAAAGTTGTTGTTAATTTCTTTGTATTTTTAGGGTGTGGGCTTATATGTTCTTCTTTGCTTCATGAGCTTTAATATTTCTTTGGCCATTTTGGATTTCATGGTTTGATTAGACCCCAATTTCAGTATCTTGTTCGTGCAAAATTGTGTATTTTAGGTACTTTCAAGTTGTTTCAATTTCTGTTTGCTGGGGCACATTCAATCCGTTGAATTGATGACCACTTTTAGAATCATTGTTATAGGAGGATTCTTCTGCTTTTCGATTTAATACTATAATTTAATATACGTTTGGTCTGTTTATTCTCTTGCAGTATTCATACCGCTTCATTTTGAACTCTTACGAGTGGATTGTGATCGCGGTTGATATGCGCTCTTGGATGTGTTTTTGCTGATTTTATGTACTTTCTGAGCTGAATATTATATAAGATCAAGTCAATTTGGTTGCTTATTAACTAGTTTATTTTTTCTGCCGGTAACTTCCAGGTCGTATTGCGTAACATTCGTATGAGATGGCGCTTATTGGACCAACAAGTGGTTTTCTGTGTAGTATCGCACACGCCTGTCGTCCCTAGTATTCCTTACACCGAGACCATATTCTCCCACGTATTCTTCTTCAGAAGCATTTATTTTCCATGACCAACGTTTGCATTATAGAAGCTGCTGATAGCCTTGCACAATCAGGGAATTTCATGACAAAGCCGAAAAGTGATTCTGCTCAAACAAATTGTTACCTAACAAGAATAAAACAAAAAACTGCAAAAGTTTTGAAAACTGTCAATAACATTTCACTTTCTTGAAAAAGGTTCAGAATGTTTGGGAAAATTAAAGCACAGTGTTTAAAATACCTGGAGATTCACACCCGAAATAACAGAAAACGAAACGAGAAAAAAATTGTATTTTTAAGAGTAGATTCAGTCACTCCAGTCTAGCACATATGATATTCAAAATGTTTGGGAACGTATATTGGCCGACACACTTTACAGAAACATTTTGCTGTTAATTTTTGGTTAGTTTGTTGCTTCTAACAAAGCGAATTTAGAGTTACTAAAGTACCTATTTTTGCTTAACTTATCGGGAAGCAATAAAGCTTTCCGAACACGTGTTTCGAATTATCCGAGAAAACTATAACTCTCACTGGACCAAAGGTCATTTATCTATGAAGTCATAATTTAGGGTAAATGGGACACATGTCGATAATTTCATCGAATTGGGGAAAGGGTGCAAAATACACGCCTTTGTATTCCACTGAGAGAATTTTATTGTATAAAGGGTTCACTTTTGTACTCGGCGCGTAGATAATTTTTACATTCTGAAAATATCCCGCTTAAATTGATTTAATTAATTGAGCGGAGTTGCTGCCGATTTACCGCTTTAAGGGTAGACTTCTTATCAACCTAAACGAATAAAAACCAACTGCAGTGACAACTTAAAAATATATTCGGGACAGTATCATATTTTATGGCTGATGACCAACAACTACTTTTTCGGCTAATATAACATAAACACTCATTAAATGTGACATCGAAGTAGCTAATATACCTTATAACTAGCAAATGTCTAACGTACATGTTCTAGCTGCAAATTTTAATGCCAGTAAAGTAAATTACATAACAGTGACTAGATGTATTTAAAATTAAATGTGGAGTGTTCTGCAAGCTTAAGTCATTCTGCGTTCGCCTCTGAAATTAAAAAAAAGAATTATATTTAAAAACTATTATTCGGCATATTCACATGTATGATTTCATGCTAATCAGCATAGGGTAATTTATTGTATTCTGTATGTATGCAAATATATACAGAGTGCGCTATTTGTGCATGGATATCAAGTATTGAACTCAGTTTGCCAAGTAGCATTTGCAAAGTAATAATAGCATAGTTGCAAAAATGTATAAAATATCAAAATCACATCTTCTAGACTGTATGGAAATCAAATATAAAAATCAATCGGTTACTTCATGTTTGGTATCTACTGATGAATTTAATGTGTTTAATGTAATCACATCTCACTTTTATTATTATTTCTACAGGGTTTCTTATCAAGTGAACGTAAATATTACTATTTCAATTTTTTATTGATTGATAGCAATATTAGATAAATTAGATATAAGATTAGCTGCTCTTAGATCGAACCGCTAATTACTACACAATAATGAAACATACTATCCTTAATCTCACCCAAAACACTTGTTAATCAGGGTCATAAATATCGCTTAACAAAATCCATTATTCTCTGACATTCTACGATATTCACTAGTAAGATATCGTTAAAGGTTTTAATTTATAGTAAGGCGAAGCAGTGGGAACTGCTACGAACACAAACGCTCAAACACCGGAATTTTTCCTTTTCTTTTTTCATCAGGCTAAAGGTTGCCGATACCAATACCCCGTCTGTGACAAATATATTCTTTGTAGTTCATACTGATTCTGCATCTTAGAAATCTCCGCTTATTTAAACAAAAGAAATTCGGGTAGCCGAATTTCGTTCCACAGAACTAAAGATAAAAAAACCGCGGGGTGGCATGGTTTCCGGTTTCATAATTGGAAATAATTCCGATTCCATACTTGGTCCCATAATAGTCGGAAAAAGAATATACCGAATAGATAACAATAAGATTATAAAAGGGATATGCAATGAGATACCTGCTAACAACAATATTAAAGAAGACTCTGATAGAGTGGTATAACATGAAATGCAGTGAACGCAAATGGATCATTCAAAAGTGAACTGATACACAGAAGGAACTAGAAGAATGAACGACATACTGCGGGAAAGTATTTAATGACAATAAAGAAGACGACGTAATTAAGTAGGTAGAACCGACCATCCTGAAACAAGAAGAAATCCTTCAAAAAGTTATATCCCAAATTCGTATGGTTAGAATTTCTGCATCGGGGACATAGAAATGAAAATCATTCAAAAAAATATTGTAAAAATACATACTTATTGGGCCTCAGCTGTCCTGGAAAATGACCTCATTCCGTACTGATGTCTACGCGTAAACAAGGATCTTCCGCGGAATCAGATAACTACCAATATCTGGCGTTATTATCCCCCGCAAGCAAGATATGCCTCAAAATTATAATACATGAAATAAAGTCATATCCCTGGATCTGGAGAATTAGATTAGGAGAGATTATAGAAAAAAATCAAGAAGTTTATAAGCACCTCTATCTGTTTTTAAGATATAGGACAGCAATTGATATATTTAAAAAGTAAACCGTGGAAAAGTGTTGACATATCCTTAGCATAGAAGCACCTCATATCCCGTATTAAATCACAGGGATCCCCCATCAACAATCTGAGATAAACAGATGACAGGTACCTATTTGCAAAAACCAAAGAAGAACTTGAAGAACAAATATTCAGATGGAGAACAGAAAGTCACGACTATGGACTAAAAATCAATAGAGATTAAAGCAAAGGAATGAGCATCGATAAGGCAAACATCATCAAAACAGACATCGAGCATATAAAACAGTGACCTCTTATTATACTATGTAGATACAGACTAGCCATCACTTTTGCACCACGACACATCCAGCTGTTTGATTAAAGTTGACTTTACTTTTTTTTTTTGGCAAAAGGTGACTATATTTTCAGTTTGGTACGGTAAGTGAACAAAATATGTCGACAGTCCTTTGTGCATAGACGGGATATACAGGATGATTTATTGTTTGTTCAAGTGTAGTGTAAGTTTTTTGATTATTGGGTAGAAAATGGAGGATGGGGGGCCAGCTTGCATAAAGCTGGTAAAAGTGAATTCTAATCTATAAATGCTTTACGTTAAACTGAGTTCAGTTTTTCGTATTTTAGTGAAACTCGCTGTGAATTTGTTCTTATGTAAGACTCATATTTTGATGAAACACCCGGGTTCATCCGTTTTGGACAAGTGCTGAATTCTTGAGTGTCGTGGTACAAAAACTACCATAACTATTTATTTGGTGGATGAAATAAATTAATTTTTGTTGTTTTTGGTTGATGCACTAATCATTTATTCACGATTTTGTGCTCTTTGTAAAATCTTGTAGCATTCATAGTTTTTGCAAAAAAATATTTCTGTTTTTTTGCCACTTGTTACAATCACAGTGTTAGACATTAACTGCAAGTATCGTAATACGAGGGATAATTTATTTGTCAATTAATCTCACAAATTCGTTTCCAATGACCTTTTCTAATGAAGAAGTGACCGACATGGTCAAAGTATTAGGGTTTTGCGAAGACAACTTGCTTAAAAGGGTACGCGTTTACGCGGCGCATATTTGCAGTTAATGTGTAACATTGTGAAATTGCAAGACAACAGACATATTTTTTTGGCGCAAAAACTATGAATGCTACAAGATTTAACAAAGAGCACAAAATTGTCAATTAATGAATAGTGCATCAACCAAAAAAATTAGTTGATTCCATCCACCAAATAAAAAGTTCTGGTAGTTTTTGTACCACGACACTCAAAAATTCACCACTTGTTCAAAAAGTTGAACTCTATTGTTTCATCAAAATATAAGTCTTACATAAGAAGAAATTCACAGCGAGTTTTACCAAAATACATTGTACCATTCTCCCGATATTTCAAACAAGATAATTTTTTTGAAGAATTCTGACCATCAATTGCAGAAGAGCCATACATTTTTTGTTAATAGAAGTTAGGTCAGATCGTCTTCTCTTGACCCAAAGAATATCGCGGTATCCTGTATATAGACTAACAGCCGAGAGTTGAAAGTTTAGTTGAGAATTAGTTTTTTGAGAAAAGTCGAGGTTTTAGGGAATTTTCGGCGGTCTGGATCCGGACAGTATTTCATTTTGTAGAAGTAGATGGCAACCAGGGCTGTAGTTTTTCTTGATAGCATTTCCGCTGCTCGCATGTGCAGATTTGTGTTTTTTTTAGGCAAATTTTATATACTTACGGCTTTTTCGATATTATACCGCACTTCTTTTCTTGTGCTGTAGAACTTTCTTCGCATACAACAGGTAACTTTTTCAAGAGCTCCTATTCATTCAGGGTTCATTTTCTCTCAAACCGTTGCAACCATGTCGAGCATTTTTTCTTTTTGAAATATTTCCTACGCTGGCGGAGTGGAGGAAAATAATATTTTTCGAAAAATATATCTCTAGCAAATAGTCAAAAACAAGCACCTTTTGAAAAACACTAGCACCTTGACCTTCTGTCAAAGAGCTAAAGTGGCAATTTAGATGTTTGCATTTTCGGAACATAATAGAAGAAGGCCTTTTGTCGGCATCTAATATCCTAACAATACCTAGAGCCTTTTGAGACATTTACTGATCTTTAAATATATCGGTTTCATATACGGCAGACTCGCTAAATTTTCAAGTTTGATGAATGGTTTGATTTGGAGTACCTAAATGGTCTGCTGGAAGGTACTTTTTTGTGGCATTGTGTTAGTGTCACGATTTAGAAAGCCTACAGTAGCGACAACGGGGGGTGATTACAAGGGGAAGTCTGGTGATTTTACCTGAGCTTCGGATGACAAGGGTCCCGCAGATAGATGTCACAATTTAGACTAAATCCGTATCACATTGCTCGACTAGGCGACAAATATGACTGAAGGAAATAAATAAATCTCGGGCGCGAATTTGAAATACAGCCTGATTCAAAATTGGCGTCATTCCTCTGGAGGTGTTGTCTGGAGCTGTTATGGGAATATAGAAAAAATAGTAAAATAATTTAATTGTTATTAAAAACTGAAAAATTTTCAAAAAAATATATCAGAAATACGGCAGCAATGTTTTCCAAGGTAATTTGCCTAATTAACATTGCGCAAATACCTGTGGCTTCGTAATTATTTAAAACTCCGGTAACCATGGAATTATACAGACTGACAATAACGACATGTTGACGAAATGTCAACCTGCTCTCATAACCTCGAATATGGGTGTTTATAAATAAACCCTACAACATCTTTAGGGTTTTTGACCATTGAATGGTTAACTCCAAACAAGCTAGTGCCTGTGTAATCTCCTTATTATCCACTCTTATCAAGCAGCTTCTCGTATTCAGTTAATTAACTCGTGCTCCATTTGTATCTCCTTGTGCTGTGTGTATCGTACAAACGTGGTAGAAACGTAGCCCTTCCTCGGTATTTATTTGGTTTTTCGGAAAGTGACAGTTATTGTGCTCTGCGTGCCCATGGAAGGCCCTGATTGGATTATGCCCAATACTTGTTCCTCTGTCTGATGACATCGATTCTCGTCCACTATCTTCCTGGAACCACTCTGCTCGCCCTTTGTTGGCGTGAGTTCTTTCAGATTCTGCTATGTTACTGTAGCATTTCCCCTGAACTAATCGCAAATCAGCAAATTCGTGAGAGGAAATTCAAAGTAAGTCACAGTTTGACAAATTATTGTTATTATTGACAAGGGCTATCCACCTGTAACTATCTGTTAATGACAAAAAACATCATTGC